TTGCTATTTATTTTTTATTATTTCATCTTTCTTTTATACTAAACATGTATAAAGAAGGGCAGTATTGCAATGGAATGAAGGAAATAAGGTAATACAGAGAGTAATCTAATGTATGGTACCTCAAAAAGTATTGTGCGGCCTTAAAGGAATTCTCAATTCAATTCAGTTCAATTCAATTCATTTTATTTGTATAGCGCCAAGACAAAAGTTATCTCAGGACACTTTTCAAATAGAGCAGGTCTAGAGTGTACTCCCAACAGTTCCCACATTTGTTTATTCACACTCATTTAAACTTAGAGTGTGAAAAGCTTTTTAAAGAATAAAAATGGCGAAAGCAGACATTTAAATATAAAGTGAGTTCTGAATGTTTTCTCAAAATCCCAGAATCTTTTAGGTTTTTAAAATAACTTCAACTTTGTGTCATTTCCTCTCAGTCTCTCTGACTGGACCAGAAAAACCAGTGGAGCAAAAGTTCTATTACTGGGGAAACATCACCATCTGTTACAGTATTATGTCATATGGATTCACATGGAGCAAATCTGTCTGTTAAACGCTCATTCATTCATTCTACTCCAGAATAGTTGAACAAAAATAGGTTGCAGGATAAGTAATGCTGTTTATGCCAAACTTCAAGAAAATAACATCAGTCAAGGAATGAAAATTAGTCATCATCTATGTTTGTTGTGTTCTGCTTTCAGAATGATGAAGACAGTTAGAGGACAATTAGATAGAGAGGATGACCTTTTTCCAGGCAACTCTCATGGTTGGCCATTCTATTGTCTCAAATGGCTTGAAAAAAGTGCATATATCTGCTGTATGGAAAAAAATCTCCCTGTGCTGTGCGCTAAGCCCCAAATGTTTACAACATCTGGCTCCGCCCCTGATGTGAACTATAAGAGGAATGAGAGAGGATTTATTTGTGTCAGCAGGATGACCTGAGTGTGAAAGGTTGTACCACAGATTTGTTTATTAGTGTCAAATATAAAATTCCCATCCTTACAGAGAACCACTAACCACTAACAAAACATACTCACACTATTGTGCACAGGTATTGTTACTCTTAAATATCACCTCATGCACAAGGGCTGCAACTAACAACTATTTTCAAGTAATCGATTAGTTGTTTGGTCTTATGGACCAAACAAATATGTCATGTCATCTGTCATAACAATTGAGAAAAATGTCAGTGATTCCCAAAGTCCAAGGTGAGAATTTGAAAAAACAATTACTCAAAACAATTAGTCTATTATCAAAATAGCTGGCAATTAATTTAACAGCTGACAACTAATCGACTAACTGTTGCAGCTCTATCATGCGAATGCATTTAATTTTAACAGCATCACACATAAGCCTCAATAGGCTCTCTCTAGTCTCTGATGTCTCAGTGTGTCTCTATGATCCTCTTGCTCTTCTGTGACTACAACTTGCTACTTGTCACTTTGATCGTGAAGGTGACACTACTCGACGACTCAAGTGTTTAACAGTTTTATTGGTTAATTTAGCATAGTAGAAGCAATGTGATGGTATTCAGTTGTCCATTTTATTTTCCAGGACAGGAAGATGCTGTCTACAGCCCAGCAAATGCTGCAGGACAGCCGCACTAAGATTGAGCTGCTGCGTATGCAGATTATCAAAGTCAGTCAAGCCAGAGACGTGGATGGCTCTCAAGGTAAATCTTACTACACATACATGTGTCATTCTTTTTATAATCTCCAACAGCCCACATTATAAATAGTAACTGTGACAAATCCCATATACAGTAAGAGACTCATCATTAGTTGTATCTGGAATGCAAACTTAAGGCAAGTAAGAGAAGTAAATTATATAATGGAAAATGTATTAAAATCTCAAATCCATTTCATGGTATTAATCAATAATCAGTAATGGAAATCATGAAGTGTATGTATTGCTGTATTTTGAGGTCAGGTGCAGATGTCTCTTGCTTGTATAAATATGTTATGGTTCAGATACAAAGGTCTTAAAAGACTGGTGCTTTCTGTATCTGTCCTCAAATCTGCTGTTGATGCTCCCCCTGCTCTCAGGTCTGCCCGTGGAGATGATCAGTCCTCTGGAGCTGCGGGTGGCTGAACTCATGCACCACATGAAGATTGAATCGGCCGTAGCAGAAGGCGCCAAAAACGTGGTGAGGCAAATGAGTGGGCGTAAGATTCAGGACCGCCGCATACTTGCAGAGGTGGGTACCAGCTGGATAGTCCACACTTAACACCACACATTAACCTGGGACCTGTGCATACAAGGAAGAAACATCACTGACATCACTAACAAGAGTCATAATATAGCATAGTGAAAGATTCAGCAAATATGACAAAAATATATTCCCTATTGCATCTTTAAAGAGTGATGAAAATGCTGCTTACTATGAGGTTACAGTGGTGGGCCAAAGTTTATTAGTGTTATTTTACTTTTCAGTTCATTTAAAAACACTCTGTTGATTGGAAAGCTGCTGAAATTTTAGACCGCAAAAGATACATACGCAGAAGTAAGCAGTAGGTGCAGCAGCCGTCAAAATGTGATTAATACGACGTGAACTGTAAACTGACTCACATTCACAGTGCAGCAGTAAAGAGGAACCTTCAGTGTGGAAAACAGTGTTTATGTCTGTCAGACTGATTTGTAACACTGGTTCAGCCTGAGGTGAAGCTTAGCCAGAAAAGCCTGATTGAGACCAGGTTTGTCTGGAGGGATACGTTTCCATGGTAACTTGGGTCAGACTTTCTTGCACTTTCTTTATGAATCCGTTTCCTAATTTACTGAATTAAGCCTGGTTTAACTGATAATGTTTTAAAAATGTATTTACAGGTTTGCATTTCAACAGGATATACAGGTACCTCATATTAACAATAGAAATGATATGGAACAGGAGAATACCATAGTGAGAAAACCTTTACCTCTCTATCTTTATTATCCTTATCCCAGTTCAGAGGATAGCAGTCATAAGATGCAAACAATACAAATAAATATGACTATGAAACAAGTTGCATTACTCAATGAAACACCCTGCCGATGCCAGGATGGTCAGTCCTGGTTTGACTGGAGACCTTTCTGTTTCTCTACTGTCACTCTCTAAAAATTGCATGATCCCAAAATAAAATCAAGCTGTGCTCTTCAGGAGTCTTGTATGTCTCTCAGGCCCAGGCACGAATGCAAGAGTCATCCCAGAAGGTGGATTTGTTACGTCTATCCCTGGAGAGACGTTTAAGTGAGCTGCCTCAGGACCATCCCAAATGTGCTGCCATTAAGGAGGAACTCATGTTGGGAACCTTGCCTTCCTACGGCACGCCAAAGAAGCAATCCAACGCTTCGTCCTCATCGTCTTCTTCATCTTCTTCCTCCTTCTTTAAACCAGCCAGTCTAACAGGTTACTAATATATTCAAAAAAATATTTTTATTGTTTTTTTGTTAAATATCTCATCAGACCTCAACATTTTGTGATTTCTGTAATGTAATATCCTCATGCAAATTAATGTTCCCCATTAAACTTTAAATAGTGTTTTCAAAACTGCATTAATAACTGAAATGTTCTCCTTCAGGCCGGTTGGAGGTATGTTTGAAGGGTTGCCAAGACCTGCTGGAGTCTGTTCCGGGCCGTGGTCGTGTGACCAGTGTCTCAGCCAACCCCGGAAGCCTTTCTGATGGAAAGTCTCTGAAGGTGAGAGCCGGCCTATCAGGACGCAGCGCCAATGGCAAGACAACCAAGGCTGATGAGCTGTCCTGTAAGTCAACACTCCAAGACCTTTTTCACAGCAGCTACTTCCAGTGAGCCAACATGCACAATAGCAGCACCCTGACTCTGTTTGACCTGAATGGAACAGAGCATTAGTATCATTTTAATAATTATTATCATTGGTAACACCTAGTTCATGCTACTACTTATTAAAGCAAGCTTATTTATATAAGTTTAAATTCACATCACAACAAGATATTTGTCTTTTTATTATTATGACATATTTTCTCATTATAACTAGATAACAAATAACATCCTGCACCATGATTTTGTGAAATAACAACAAGTGTTTTGAACAAGATAAAGTAATTTGTTACAGGAAAGTTAAAGTTTGTTAAAGAAAAGTTTCTTCATGTATCTAGTAATAATGCGAAAATACATCATAACATGAGAAATATCTTGTTCTAATGTGTAAAGAATCTTGTAAAAATCCAAAAAGAAACATATATTTGAATATAATAATATTGCTACGAGCTCTCAGGACACAGATCTTAGTAAGGAAATCAACTGAAACTGTAAAAGTTACAAAAACAGGATTTTCTACCTGAAAATAATGTTATTTCTTACTTGAAGTGTCTGTGTTCAGGATTTTCCACTCCGTGTATTTATTTTAACAAAGTCTGTATTTTTCTCTAGTTAAAATATGCACACAGCCTGTTACAACCTTTATCAGTCTTTACTGCCTGTATCAGTCTGGATCTTTGTGTCTGTGCCTCAGCGGAGGTAAGCGTGGTGCTGAAGGTGGACAACAGGATTGAGGGGCGCACACAGTGGAGACAGCTGGGCACTGAGGCCTGGGGCCAGAGCTTCAGCATTGAACTGGAACGGGTCAGTGGCTTTCACTTACACAAGCAACTCAATTTACTACTGAGCCAGGACTAAATTTTTCAAATGGAATTAAACTGCATTTTTAGGATGAAAACATCATTACTGAGTTATTTTCCCTTGACTGCGATATCGCACAGCTACAATAAAATATTTTTGGTGAAATATTTCTACAGTAGCCAAGACGGGACAAACCAAACACTTGATCTAGATTTCATTTCACAGCCACCAGAGTTACTCCTACACGCTTAAAAAGGGTAGGGTGAAGTGAGAGAGTTGCAATCTGCAACTCCACGGCTAGATGCCACTAAATCCTACACACTTACTAAAATGATAAGGAAACTACAACAGATGGTGCAAAACATCATTTGACAACAAGGGTGTGAAGCACCATTGGTTGCAATATCCCTGGATGCGTAGAAAGTATTAGTATTAGTAGAACAGAATAGACTGGCTCTCTATGTTGACAGTCTCTCCATTTAACTCCTTTCAGCAGAACACTGTATGAGAGCAGTTAAAGCAGTGATAGACAAGGTTGTCCTTTGTTTCCATTGCGGTTCATATAAACCTTAGAGCTATTAGCATTTGCTGTTAATAGAAAGATTGTTGCTTAAAAAAACTGATATCAGTATGAGCCTCATAAATCCAGTATTGATCAGGCTAGTTGTGTTGTCACAGTTTCTTGCATTCTTCCTCATAATGATAGCCTGTAGCACTATACCAGTGTATTTAGGTGTTAAACCAACCACTGTTGGCTAGATAGTTTATTGCCAAATACCATCTCAATAACCCCTAATAGTGAACATCTGTTAACAGCCCATGAACAGTAACACAGAGCCTTGACATCTCGTCTCTCACTGGGTCAGAATGGCCAAGTATGTCTTTAATACTTTGTCAATGTCCCTACTCTACTCATGTAATCCCACTGCTAATCCTCTGACATTTGCTCTAATCTGGCTTTACCCACACACACCCGGCATCCCTGCTTAAGACTTGGTTTCTGATATTGCATTCTTTATTGTGCCTTGACATTTTAATGGGAAGTAGTTGATTTTATACATTCAGGTCAGTTTTAGGCAAGAGGGAAAGACCCCAAAAGTGCTTTAGTAGTGGAGATACCCCTACCGGAGATAGAACAAAGCTCAACAATGTTTTTTTATTTACAGGGCAGGGGGAAGTGCTACACAGCCCGTAAAAACAGTTGTATAATATTGAAGAAACCAATTCCATTGGTTGCATCTCAGCCTCTGTTTTGTGAGTCCCCTAACTTTATTAAAGTGATATATTAAATCACCAGGGGAGATTTAGAGTTTCTATTTCTTTGTGGCACTGCAAAGGTCTTACAACATTTGTTATTTTAGAGTTAAATCCACTGTTTGAACTGAAATGGATGTAGGCCGTCACCATCTTGCCAGTCCTGACTCCACTGGCTTCTGGCTAATCAAAAAATGGGCGAAGAGGTGGAGCGTGGGTGGAGCTGAGGAGGGCTGAATGAAGCCTGGTTACTGAAAACAGCCACCTATAATGGCACCCACCTGTCACTCAAAAAGGGCCATGCTCTTAATTATGCATACCTTTAAGCCTTAATATAATTTAAACTGGTTAGTTATATAAAAATGTACCCCTGTACAGTTTTCATGAACAGGGAAATTGTCTATAGAGACTAAAAGTGTTTTCTGTACCAGGCTGTAAATATGTTTATATCTGTTGTTCAGTTGAGCATTTTAATATGGGGCCTTATGGAGATTGATCACTGTTGGAGCCAGCCTCAGGTGGCCTTTAGAGGAACTGCAGCTGTTGTCGCTTCGCGTTGGCTTCTTTGTCAACTGCTTGGTTAAATCCCATCAACTTTTTATTTCATACTTTCCCTCCTTTCAGTAATTCAGAAAATAAAGCCATCCTTCTTTACCAAAGAATTTCCCCTTGGGGATTAATAAAGTATATCTTCTTCTTCTCAAATGTAAATGTAAAAATGTATTAAGTGAAATTATGAACATATTTGAATGTTTGCGTATGTTGATCAAGTCCAGGGAGCTGGAAATTGCTGTGTACTGGAGAGACTGGCGAGCTTTAAGTGGAGTGAAGTTCCTGCGGCTGGAGGACTTCCTGGATAACCTCCGACATGGAATGTGTCTCCAGCTGGAGCCTCAGGGCATCCTTTTCATCGAGGTTCTCACTTTCATATTGTACCTTCATTTCTTATTCCAGAGTTGACGTAATTTCCAAAAATGAAAAAACTTTCCAAAAATGTTTTAATTGGTGTTTTTTTATTTTTTTATTTTCTGTTATTGGACCAAGTAGCCACAAAAAATGGTGTTGTGATCCCAAATAGTAAATATTTATTTTTCCCTATGACACAGATGCCAAATAAATTGCTCCTCTGTTCATTTCTAGGTGACCTTCATCAATCCTGTCATTGAGCGGCGCTCCAAACTCCAGAGGCAGAGGAGAATATTCCCCAAAGAAAAAGGTATCAGTGTTTATTCATATTGCATTACATCAATTCTTTCTTTAGAAGTTATTTATTTGTTGATATAAATTGTTTTTTATTGTTGGTTCCAAACGTTGTTGGCTTGTATTGGACAATAAGGTTACAGTGTGGATTTAGATGTAGATATACATTATGGTTTCCCAAAAGCTATAATTTTACCTTTTTAAAATTGTGTTGGTTGCTAATTTTTTTGTGCAAAGGTCAGCCTAACGTTGTTATTAAAACATGAAAGGTAATTCAAACACCAGTTTCTATTTAAGCAGTTTTTCTTTCAGTACATACAGTAGTTCAGATTTGATATCTCTACTTTCTTTGTCTGCATTCCTCCTCACAGGGAAGGACTTCCTGCGTGCTGCCCAGATGAACATGAACTTTGCCACTTGGGGACGTTTGATGATGAGCATCCTGCCTCCCTGTAGCTCCCTGGAGCCCATGAGCCCTCCATTAGCGGGCCCTAACACTGGCTCCACATCATCCAGCACTTCTCCGGCACGGTAAGGCTCTGTGGTGTCTGTGGACACTGTGACCCAGAAACATCTCTTTGTCACATCTATGAAAGAGCTGTTACAAAAGTGAGCTATTAACTTCTTTGCTGAGCTATCCACAGTGACTTGAGGCTATTTTTCTACCCATTCATTATATCTGAGACTAGAGAAAATGTGACTTTAGCGGAGGGCTGATAGCAACATTATCACTGACCTGCATTCAGAGGTAAAAGGAGCAAGACGTAGAGGTTGTATAGGACTAGTATGTGAAGTTATACCATTAAAGGTACAGTGTAACATTTAGGAGGATCTATTGTCAGAAATGTATGTATGTATGTATACATATATAGGTATGTTTTCATTAGTGTATAATCACCTGAATATAAGAATATGTGTGTTTTTGTTACCTTAGAATGAGCTGTTTATCTACAGAGGTAGCAAACTCTTCTATAGAGGCCAACCAGGCAGCACAGCTGTGAGCTAACTAGCTAACAGTTAAGATTACAGTTAGCAGCGGGGTTTGGGGATTGTGGACATAATGCTCAGAGGAATTTAGGAAAGAGAGGGTGCATCACTGAAGCAAGTCAACAATATTAACACCAGCACAGCCGCAAAACAGCACTGAAACCACAATAGTGGCAATGTCATGGGTCCGCTTGGTTTTCAGAGAACCTGCTGTGGTGAATCTAAATTTTACTGAAGAACAACCTGGCAGATCTCCACATCGCACCAGAAAGAACACTAAAGACTCTCCATTGGTAAGCAAGTCAGGTGTTTGGTTTCAGTGGCAAATGCTTTATCAGTCATACACAGATTAAAACAAGGTTAATGGCAGAGAATTGACTGTTCGTAAGTCCCACCCGTTTTGAAACCTCGGTCAGGTTTCTCCTTTCCTGTACTTAGATATGCTATGTGCTAGGCTGGACTATGATGAAAAGGAAACTACATTAAATATGGTTAAAGAATAAAAGCAACACACATACACACACATCATCATATCTAAATAAGCTAATGTTAGCAAAATGCTAGCAAACTACCTAGCGAATCTTAATCAGTCACTAGCCAGTTAACAAGATAGCTAACAATAGATATATATTAATTGGCTAGTTAGCTAGTGTTTTGCTAACATTAGCTAGCTATCTTAAGATATGGCAATATATATATTGCTTTTATCTTTTCACCATCTTTAAAATATCATTGTCTTTCTGATAACACCAGCACATAGCATATCTAGGTATAGGAAAGGAGGAAGTTGACTTAGGAAGGGTCAATTGTCTGTTTAAACTGATCTAGAGCAGCAGTTGTGTACCATCCCTGATGTTTCTTCATCAAGGCTGTCATTTTTTTAAAAATTCTTCTTTGTTTTATTTTGTGTTTGAGTGATGTGTCACTTTATGTCTTTTGTCTGTTTACCCTGTTGATAAACAGAACAAAAGTCCCAAGCCCAGGCGACAACCCTCAATTCATCCACCCTTACAGTAAGTCATACTGATTAGGAATGTGGAAATCTTTTTTTCTTTGGAACAAAAACCTATATAGTTTCTCTATAATAAGATACAACTGCATAAAAATAAATAAACACAAATAAACTGTGCAGCAAGAAGGGAGTTAAGTTATAGGTGTTATGGTATATACACAGATTAGCCATAACATTATGACCACCTGGGCACCCTGGTGGTCCTTCGCTCAAATCCACAAGCTGCCCATTTTTCCTGATAAAATGTTCACTTGCTGCCTAATATATCCCACCCACTGACAGGAGCCATGATAATCAGTGTTATTATGCTCACAATGTTATAGCTGAGTAGTCTTTCGACCACTGTACACGATGCGCTGTACACTAATAATAATAATAATAATAATAATAATAATAATACATTTTATTTAAAAGAGCGCTTTTCTGAATACTCAAAGACACTTACAATATAATAAAAGAAGAATCAAAGAACATCAAATAGGTAAAAAACAATATAAAACAGTACATCACATATGTTAAAACACATTAGACTCAGATTAAAAGCTAAAAAACTGTGGGTTGAGTGTGGCATTGTTAGTGCACACTTCACCCACACATTCCACAACTTGATGGCAGTGGCTGCCATGCAAGGTGCCCAACTGCTCACCAGAACTGAAACTAAGCATTCACACACAGTCATAGCAATTTGAACTGCGAACCTTCCGATTAGTGGACAACCCACTCTACCTCTGAGCCACAGCTGCCCCCTATTGTGTATTGTATTGTATTGTATTGTATTGTATTGTATTGCGTATATATAAAATAACACAGTACTGAAGTAAGAAAAGTTTGTCTCTTGCTTCTTAGCTAAGCTGGGTGCCATTTTTAAATTCTGTCAATAAAGAATGTACATTCAGGGTGCCCGGTTAGCTTACTTGGTAGAGCTGGCGACCATGTACCGAGTTGCTGCAGCGGCCCAGGGTTCGAATCTGACCTGCGGCCCTTTGCTGTGTGTCATCCCCTCTCTCTACCCCCCTTTCCTGTCTGTCTTCCGCTGTCACTATCAATTAAAAGGCAATAAAAGACCAAAAAAAGAAGAAATGTACATTCAGGGCAGTTCATGTATTCATGTGATGAGTGCAGAGAAAACAATTACAAAATGGTAAAAAATGGGTAAGGAATTTTTCAGTTGAAAAAAACCTTTGTATTCTCATGCAGCACGGACGAAGGACTTCAGATGGAAGACTTTAACTGCATTTCAGTTTTAGGAAGAGGTCACTTTGGAAAGGTACGTATCTACTCTAACTTGTTTTCCTCTGCATTATCCTTGTACCTGTAAAAATGTCAATAGCAGCGATTTTAGTAATAAAAAGCATCCTGTGAGAAATGCAGGTTAAAGGTGCCGGAAGTGAAATTGTTCCTGTCTGTTCATGCCGTTAGCAATCTGTATCTAGCAAATGAAGCCAACACGGAAGTAATAAAAATTGCAGTTCCTCTAATGGCCAGTCCATCGCCGTAATGCCCCATATTAAAATGCCCAACTTTACAACAGAATAATATGGCTCATTCGTTTAAATTATATTAAGGCTTAATGTTACTCAGGACTGCTTCAAGTGACAGGTGGGTGCCGACACAGGCGGCTGTTTTCAGTAACCAGGCTTCATTCAGCCCGCCTTAGCTCCACTTCTTTACCCATTTTTGGATTAGCCGGGCGGGTAGGCGAGTCAGGACTGCCAAGATGGCACAGGTCGAGCCGACTACACACTGAGCTTCAAAAACGTATGGGTGACGTCCCAGAGACCACGTCCAATTTTAATCATACAGTCTCCGCTCCCCACATCACCAGACTGAAATTTTGCTGCCTGCCCTCAAGGCCTGCCTCTTTGTGGAGTTCTCTCTCCTGATTAGATAAAGTGGGAATGGGATACCAGAAAATGTATTGTGTGTTTACTGCAGAGAGGACAGACTGAGAGACCCACAGTGATGGTTGTCAAAATGTAAAGCTTTTTAACACTAACAAAAAAATATCACTCGCAGCACCTTTTTAAGAGCTAACCTGGAGCTTTAAGGCTGCTGACCCTGCAATCACTACTTCCCCAGTACATGTCTGGCCAGGAACTTCTGTTGCATGTCATCCCCCATTTCTTTCTTGTCATTTGCTGCTCCAGTCTGTACTCTAGAATAATGGCACGTTTTAAAAAAACAATTTATTTCTCCTGTACTTCTTGATTCAAGGTGCTGCTAGCAGAGTATAAGAAGTCAGGCAAACTGTATGCCATCAAAGCACTGAAGAAAGGAGACATTGTGACACGTGATGAAGTTGACAGGTGAGCAACACCTCAGCTGGTTCATTAGAAACATTATTTTTCGGTCAGTGATTCTTTCCACCACCCTGCCGTGTTCCTAAAGAATAGTATGTGCAAATATGTGACTGCACAAGGGGCCTTTACCACTAAGAAAGTTCAGCTGAGTCTCTTTTAAGGTTACTTGTCTTCACTGAGAATACCATTAGTGATCATATGAAGCTGGCTCTGTTAGCATTTTACATGCAAATCTGATAACTTGGCCTTGTTAGTACGATTTAAACCTGTGGAAACAGTTGTATCATGTCTCTGGAAGAGCTTTGTCTTTTTCCACTTTCCACATAGAAGTGCCCATTAGTGCTTCCACAGGTTTAAAAGTAAAAATTGATTATAATGATGTGTGTTTGTTTTCAGCCTTGTTTGTGAAAAGAGGATATTTGAAGTGATCAACGCCTCACGACATCCATTCCTGGTGAACCTGCACGGCTGCTTCCAGACCGCAGACCATGTATGCTTTGTGATGGCCTACTCCCCCGGAGGAGACCTCATGACACACATTCACACCAGCATCTTCACAGAGAAACAGACCCGGTTAGCACACATCATTACATCTGTAAACCACTGACACGCAGCAAAAGTACAGGATGTTAGTGTTATTTCCTTCTCTTTCTCTCTGATTGAAGGTTTTATTCGTCGTGCGTTCTGCTCGGACTGGAGTTTCTCCACCAAAACAAAATAGTTTACAGGTCGGTCTGTCTCCTCTACATGTCAGTATAGTGTACCTTGCATCATGTTGTGGGCATGTAGCATAATTTGGTTTGTGTCTGTCTGTCAGGGATCTGAAGCTGGACAACCTGCTTATGGATGCCGATGGTTTTGTCAGGATAGCAGACTTTGGCTTGTGCAAAGAAGGTAAAAATAAAATTGCAAATTTATGTCATATTCCACTTTTAGACTTGTCAAAATCTAAAAGACTTGCAACTCGACTCACCAACACCAATGACTCGTGACTCCACTTGGACCTTTGACTTGAAAATACTCGATACCTTTGCCCAAGCCCAAAGATTCAAAAGTATGTTATTTAAAAAGTGTGCCACAAATCAGGTAATTTCCCGCCATTTCCTGAATCAACCATAATACTATTCATTTCCAGTAGGTCGACACTTAAAATTTGTGTACACACAGGCTCCATTGTGGTCCATCTGTTTTTTTTTAATTTTTCTTTTTTTTTATTATTATTATTATTTTATTTCTACATGGTACATTGGTGACATTATGTGATTATCATGTGACATTAAATTGAATAGACATACCTACAACACATCTTTCATTTATTATTACTCTATTAAATGACAGTTGGTGAAGAGTCTTATGACTTGTTTAGGACTCGAAACACTAAGTTTAGCACTTGGGACTTGAGTGCAAAGACTTGAGACTTACTTGTGACTTGCAAAACAGTGACTTGGTCCCACCTCTGTGAAATGTAATTCAACTTTAACAACAGAACTAACGAAACTAAACTATTATAAGAACTATAATTTTTTTCCAACTGGCACTCAGTGAAGTTCTTCATTGTTCTCTCCTCCAATCTGGTTGGATGCTGTTGGATTGGTTCACACAAAGTGGATCTGGGGAATTAAGTGTCGACTTGCTGTGAATGAATAGTGTTGTTTTAGGAAATTAACTGATTCATGGCACACTTTTTAAACAACATACTTTTTTTATATTTGGGCTTTGGGGAAGGAATCAAGTGTTGTCAAACCAAAAGGCTAAGTGAAGTCACGAGTCACTGGTGAAGTTGCAAGTCTTAATGATTTTTAGGGCCCGAGCACTGACCGTGCAAAGGCCCTATTGTAATTGAAAGGATTCTTATTTTTATTTTAGTAACTTTTGAATCGCATATTTGGAGGCTTTCCCGTGCTCGAAAACTCATGAAACGCGGCGCACATGTCAGTTGTGGCGAAAAATTTTATATTCTATGTGTCGCTTTTGGGTTGGCCACTAGGTGGCGCTACTATCATAAAAAATGCATGTAGACTAATAACTTCTGCAGAGTTTGTCGCACATTCAAAACCTTATATCCACGCGTTCTGTGAATGGAGCTGAAACTCCCCATATAGGCCACGCCCACTTCCGCCTATGATTTTTTTTGCGTTAGAGCGCGAAATGTCCATAAACTACTTTTTTGGTGTTCCTCCTATGTGCTTTGTCCGATTCGCACGAAATTTTTCACGTAGCATCTGGGGACCGTCCTGGCAAAAAAGTAATTTGAAGAATTTTGATATTTCAAAAAATAAGCACGTTATAAAATTAGCACTTCCTGTAGATTTTTCGTCAAAAAAGGAAGTG